AGTTGTTGACATATTGGTCAGAGTCAAACCGACAATGAGCAAAGTCAAACCGACAATGCAAATGCTCAACTTATTACCTTGCGTAGGTTACAACGACCAAGATCTCAACCAGACAGATACCTCGGTGTTGTCTTAATCGAAGATCAAGACATCCTAATAATGGATGGAGATGAGCCAGCGACTTACAAACAAGCTATGACGAGCCCCGACTCTGCAAAATGGCAAGAGGCCATGAAATCCAAGATGGACTCCATGTTTGAAAATCAAGTCTAGGACTTGGTTAATTTACCCGAAGGTTACACACCTATCGGTTGCAAATGGATTTTCAAGTTGAAAATCGACAAAGATGGAACTGTATCAACGTACAAAGCTAGATTGGTGGCAAAAGATTACAGAAAATTCACGGCATTGATTATGATGAAACCTTTTCGCCAGTCGCCATGCTTAAGTCCGTCCGGATTATCCTTGCAATTGCCGCATATTATGATTATGAAATATGGCAAATGAATGTCAAAACCACCTTCCTTAATGGGATTTTGGAAGAAACTGTGTACATGACACATCCAGAAAGTTTTGTTGATTCAAGCAATGCTGGGAAGGTATGGAAGCTTAAGAAATCCATTTATGGACTAAAGCAGGAAAGCAGAAGTTGGAATCTGCAATTCGATGAAGTCATTAGCAAGTTTGGTTTTATAAAGAATCCAAATGAGTCTTGTGTTTACAAGAAGGTCAGTAGGAGTGACATCGCATTCCTCGTCTTATATGTCGATGACATATTGTGCATTGGAAAAAACATTCCAATATTGGAGTCTGTAAAGAATTGGCTTGGAAAGTGTTTTTCAATGAAGGACTAAGGAGAGGTACAATACATATTAGCCATCAAGATCTATCGGGATAGATCTAAAAGGATGATTGGATTAAGCCAAAGTACTTATATTGATAAGGTACTGGCACGATTCAACATAGAAGGGGCCAAAAGAGGGCACCTACCCATGTCACATGGCATAACTCTCAAAAAGAAGCAGTGTCCATAGACACAAGATGAGCGAGAGAGGATGAATCAGATTCCATATGCTTCGCTTATTGGATCAATCATGTATGCCATGATATGTACTAGGCTGGATGTATTGTATGCCTTGAGTGCTACAAGCCGATACTAATCAGACCCAGGAGAGGCGCATTGAACTGCGGCTTAAAATATCCTAAAGTACCTGAAAAGGAATAAGGATAAATTTCTGGTCTACGGTGGTAGTAATGATTTGGTTGTTGAAGGTTATACCGAAGCGAGCTTCTAGACTGAAAGAGACGACTTCAAGTCGCAGTCAGGGTACATATTCTGCCTAAATGGAGGAGCGTTTAGTTGGAAGAGTGCTAAGCAAAGTACCACTGAAGATTCTACAATTGAAACCGAATACTTGGCAGCTTCAAAAGCAGCTAAGGAGGCAGTTTGGATTCGTAAGTTTATTGGTGAACTTGATGTTGTACCCTCAATCAAGGGTCCGATAGACCTCTATTGTGATAACAATGAAGCTATTGCTGAGGCCAAGGAGCCAAGGGAATATTAGAAGGTCAAACATGTCAAGAGGCGATTTCACATGATAAGGGAATGGAAGTCCAAGGGTGAAATCAGAATTTGTAAGATTGGAACAGACGACAATGTAGCCGATCCACTCATTAAACCTTTGCCTCAAGTGAAGCACAACAAGCACGTTAAGGCAATGGGAATCAGGCACGTTGGAGATTGGCTTTGATTTCCCTTTTATGTGATTTAATTAAATTTGAGGTTTTAATGTAAAACACTATGTTGAACCATTCAGTTTTGGAGTAATTAAAATTCTACAAATTTATTATCTATCCATTTCTATTTAATTGTGGTTAAGTGAACATTGAATATTTCGATCGAAAATTATCCCTGATCAAGGTCATTTAAATGATGGACGATTATTAACCATTTGAGATTAGTGTGTAGTATAATTTATAGCACCGTTTCTTGTGCTACGAGGACATGATTGTCATAAATCATTTGCATAGGTATTGGTTTGGAAATATACCGGATCAACCTATGAGAATACTTTAAGAGATTTAAAATCGTCATAAGTATATTTCTCATTATAGCTATCGAAACCTTTTTTCCTCGACCATGAGTACTGTAAATTCTCTTGTTTGAGTACTAGTCCGTTTTGATGTTGTCAAACGTCTGCCGTAAATGGAGATTATAACAACAACACTCGGGCGGCTAGGTCCTCTTAGTAAGGGAAGATAACAATACAAGACTGGGAATGTCCCCCTATTAACAATAAGGAACATGTCTTTGTTGTTTACAAGGCCTCTCGAAGAGCGAGACTGTGAAAATGCATGGTCGTGCTCAGATGGATTTTAGAAATCATCTGCTTATTGACATTCGAACTCGGAAATCGAGAAATACTTCTGGACGTAATAAGGATGACGAAGAATCTTACCTTATAGTTCATGAAGAGACATTAAGTGACATAGGAAATGGGCTATACAGTAACTTCACACTGTCTGGAAGGACAAGTGGGAGATTGAAAGGAATGGTGTCCTTCCAACAAGTGTATTATTCTGATAGAGGGTTTGGAATTATTAGAAAGCTAATTCTTTAGTGAGATCAAGTGATCGGAATGCCTAGGTGGAGGTCGCTTCCGATCAGTAATATTAATGTATAATTAATATTACAGCTTAATCTTGACCGAACCCTTCGGGTCGCATCCCAATCGAGTAACTGATCCAAGACGACAAATCAATCCAAAAGATTAGATGAGTCATTAGAGTATTACGAACAAAAACGTCGGATATCGAGCTTGGAGCGTCGAAACCAAGCGTCATAAGTCAAGTCGAATTTAAAATTCGACGAGACGAGAAATAAAGCAAACGACAAGTACGAGCTAGGTCGTAGCCTTGCATTGGTCTAGCCATGCGAGTGGTAGGCTAGCCTAAGCTACCAACCGCATCGCAAGGCATGCCGCAAGCCAAGCATGCATATGCGTGCTAGGCTTGCTGGCCGAGCATGCTTGCGGGGCTGGTGCTCATGGTCGCTAGCAAGCTAGCAGCTGACGCACCATGCGTGCTAGCATGCTGGGCCATGCACCCAGCCACTCGCAACATCGCAGCAGCTGGGCATCGCCCAGCAGACGCACATTGCACAGCACAAGCAACGCAGCAGCAGCAACCCGCATTGCGTGCATGGCCTGCTTACTGCGCGCATGCGTGTGCGAGCTGGCTAGCCAACCCAGCCTTGGTGCGTAGGCTAACATCCAGTCAATGTAGGGACCGGTCTTGGTGGCTTGCTCGGGGAGCAAGTGGTGTTTGGTCCCCCTCCCCCCTTAGTGGTCTTCACCTAACCTTGCTCACCATTTGCCACTTGGCTCTTGTTGGTTCATTTGCATTTTAATTTGTTTTTGAATTAAAATAAATTGAGCAAAATGCATTTTCACCAATTCTCCCACATTGATGGGAGATGGGAAATCAAGGATCCCTTCCCTATAAATACCCATCTTTTGGGATTGGGAAGGAGCACTTGAGTTGAGAATTTTCAAGAATCTCCTTGAAGAGAATACCTTAATTCTAATACTCTAGTTCTTGGTCTAGCCCCGACTAACCTTCGGGGTAGGGACCGTTCGGGTCGGGTCTTGAGGGTGCGAGCCGTCAGAGGCTTGCGCACTTGCGAAGCTAGAGCTTTCAAGTAAGAGCTTGTAAGCAAGCGAAGCACGCGTCGAGGGTAAGATCATCTTTTCTCTTTCTCTCTCTTGTTGTTTAATTATGTGATTGCATGTTTAGTTACATTAGTTAGTGTGCGGGTTTCATTCCGCGTAGTGTCGGACACTAAGAAACCCAACACCGAACCGTTCATGAACCGAAATCGCTTATAAATCGAGCCATTTACAAACCGCTTACTATAAAAGGAAGATTAATACACATTAAAAGGAATTTTAAATGAAATCTAATTATGCACACATGATTATTACGGAGTACATTATTATTTTCCTTAAATTTTCTACGTAATTATGGATTAAGCAAAACAATCTTCAACTTCTCTTAAACGACATCATCAAAAAGCTTCATATTTTGCTCATAATTATATTGGACCAAAGTTGGACAAGTCGAATTCTTATGATGTATTATTGTAATTCTCGAAATTTTCAGAATGAGATGATTGCATCCTTTGATCTTTTAAAAACAAATTAAAGTCAGTACAAAAATTATAATAAAGAATATTATTAATCAATAAAGAAACTCGAAAAATTCTAGCTTGAAAAATTATAATAAAAAATATTTTTTGAAACTGAAAACCGACTCGAACCGTATTCTAGTAAACCCGAAATCAAACCGATCCTAATGATGTTAAATTGTATAAGAAGCGAACTCGTTCTAAACCGAACTGAAATAAAACTGAACCGCAAAAGAACCGAACCGTTTCTACCCCGAAACCGTTTGAATCGGGATAAAAACCGTTTACACCGAATCGTTAACGAACCGCAACCCGTTTGCACCGAACCATTAACTTCCCGAACTGTTTACAACCCGAACCGAATTAAAACCGCTTAAGAATAAACCAAAACTGAACCGAACTGATATTAATTTGAACCGAACCGAAATCAACTCATAAGACACTTGAACCGATTTCTAACCGACCTGTTTTCAAAACGAACCGGTTCCAAACCGAACCGAAATCGAATTATCAAACCGTTTTGACAATGCTACGTATAATACAACGGATTTAGGGTTTGCAATAGATCAAAAATGTAGTTATGTATAGGAAAAATATGAAGCATATGGATTTGCATGAGAATGAGGTATTTGATCGATAGGGATGGAGGAGGAAGATTTTTGTGGATGCCTATTCGGAATAATCACTTTTGGTTCATGAAACCGACTCTACTTATGGGATGAAGGCTTTGATTGATTGATTGATTATATACAAACTAAATGTATCATTATATTAAATATTTCGTAAAATCTATGAGTGTTCAAGATATAAAGAGTATTACCAAATTTTAAAGGATCAGATTGAAATATTGTCCCGGAAACATAAGTTTTATTTAATAATATTTGAGTTGCAAAACTCATTGCTCTTATCTTTGCCGGGAAAACCAACACAGTACAACACTACAAACTAAAGAACAACAACAATAACCCAAAACATCAGCAATGGACGGAACGAGATCGAAATAATTAAGCTTGATTAGAGCCTACGAATAATGACTGGGGCCCCGTGAAAGGGTTCGAGGGTCAACATAAAGGACGGCGCATGAGTATAAGAAGGCGAAAGCTCGAAGGTATAGCGTTGGAGCAACATAGACAAAGCCATCTTAGCTTCTAACATGGATAAGTTTTGGCCAATGCAAACCCTTGGACCCCATCCAAATGGGAAATACGGGGCTGAATCTTTATCGGATGCCTTCGAAACGCCCTCAGAGAACCTACTAGGGTTGAACTCAAGCACGTCTTTCCCCCACACTTCTTGATCTCGATGAACACATGGTGTTGGGATGAAAACATGGGCACCACCAGGAAGTTGTTTATCTCCTAGTTTTGCTCCTTTTTGACCCGTGGTCCGAATTATGCTAGAAGGTGGATATAGCCTTAATGTTTCTTGCAAAACCATGGTCACCTACAATACACAACAATTAAGACAAGGACACAACGAATTGCTATTTTTATTTATTTTTTTATTTTTTTTCTTGCAAAGTCAAATACTCAAGCACTAATAACTTACAGTTTTGAGACGGCCTAGGTCGTCGAAGGTAGGTGTATGTTCACGGCCTACTTGTTTAAACACTTCATCTCTTGCCTTTTCTTGCCAGTCTTGGTGCATGCTCAGAGCTACAATAGCCCAAGTGAGCGAATTCGCAGTTGTCTCATGCCCTGCAAAGTAGAATAGCTTGCATTCATCGATAAGCTCTTGTAATGTCATTCCTTTACCCACTAACTGGCTGTTGAGATTTGATTGTAGCATCAATCCCAACAAATCATCCTTGACAATACCATCCTTTTTCATGATTCTCTGGCGCTTTTGAATTATATCTTTCAATGCACTTGTGACTTCTTTTTGGATGTATTTCATCCTTGCATTTGTTTTCGTTGGCAAATGCCTACGTTGAGGTTCATTTGTATGTAAGTAAAACAATCTCTTACCCACCACATGTACAAGTATACATTTAAATATAGATGTACTCTATATAATGTTTGCACAAGATTAGTTAGGTTTAATTGAATCCATTGATTAAGGTACGTGTGGCTTCATCTTTTTTTGAAGACTACTATTGAACGATCCTATTCAAAATAATGTCTTACAAAAAGTGGTTACCTTAAGAATGGAAATGCGGCCATATAGTATACTTTATTAAGTAACTTAGATTGCTCATTCATGAGCTGAAATACTTTACTTCCTTCTTCGTAATTGCTGCCAAAGGCCACATTTGATATAATATCTGCTGTTAATTTTTGAAACTCGGCGAAAACATCAATTTCACATGAATCCTTTGCTCTTAGAATTCCCTCCCATGCCGAAATCATTCCTTGTGTGCACTTTAGTATGGATGGCACCATTCCCTGGCAGAAATCGCAACAGTTTATTATTACATACTTGAACGTAATTGATATATATTGCTACATAGAGTAGTTTAAATGCCGGAAATGGAGATTTAGTTACGAACACCACTAATTTTAATTGAAAGTGCAGTGGGATAAGTAATATAATCATGTCGATCCTCGTATAATTTTACACAACCAGGGGTAATAAACACGTTCAGATAGAGTAGAATTTTGCACATGTTATATATTGACAGTTTGTACAATTACTGTTATCCAAATATCCTAGTAAAAAAGAACAAAAAAAAGAGAGAGAATAGCATAAAACTAAACCTGTAACTTGGCCATATGGAAGGCTGGATTCAGCAACTTTCTGTGCATTGCCCATTTATCTCCATTCAAAGATGAGACACCAGCAACAAAGAGTCTGGTGAAACCATTGATAGCTGGTTTTTGAAATTCTCCGGATTTATTCGTTAACATTTCTCTAATCAACTTTGGTTCCATCAACACTATTCTAGGCACGGTCCCCGTCCAATAGAAGAACATTTTACCTATTTCACATAGATATTGCACTTTATTTCAGTCTACAAAATTATGAATTATTTTTTTTCAAAGTAAAATTAGTTCATAAGTTAAACACATTAATACATAACTATGGACTACGTAAAAATAAAAATTTTAAGTTCTAATTACATTTGAAGTTCATCATACACATTTGATTTCGTTCCATAATTTATTATTTATTTTTTGACTCGATCTTCTTCTGCTTATCTTGTTGCTTCACTTAAGATCTGGAAATTATACAACAATTATATCTTACAAATCAATTACAAGGGCGGTAACAAGAGATAATCAATCAATAGCAACTAAATATGCTGCTTCGTAGAATATATAAACTTGCTCAAGTAACAAAAGTTGACAAACGTACCATATTTCTCCATTAAATGGGACTCAATAGGATGGGAGCATGATAAAATATCGTGGGATAAAGTTTTGGGCATGGAAGAAATGCCATTAACCTTTAATTGACTGAGCCTAGCTCGTTCACCACCCCATAACTGGAAAGTAGTGCCATTAATTCCTTGCTTCCTTAACACACTTTCTTGCCATTTAGGCTTCAGTACAATAGCATTTACCATTTTCACTATAAAAGCTACCACAAACAGTCCTAAAACTGCTAAAATGGCCGCTACAACACTCATTGTAAAATTATTGCAAGTGTTCTCTTCACTTCTCTTTATTAATACCTTTAGTGTTATTAAACCAGAGTTGCCATCGATCTATTTACATACTTGTCCAAGTCTAGCTAATTATTAATTAATACACCATCCGTTTCAGTCTCATTTATAATATTTTGACTATTTAAGAGAATGTTATAAATTTCTCTATGTGTAAAAACAAACATAGTCGTATAAGATCTAGTTTTATTCATCTCAATAATTAATTTATTATATCTAATATTTATAATTTTTGCTAGCGTGAGATTAAATATATTTACGATCAGAGATTTGCATTGATATATGATATATGTAAATGAGACTAACATTAAGAAATCGAAGGAGTACAATTTTTTTCTACAATGTATAAAGTTTATTTTAGCCGTAAGGCATTTTTAACTTATAAATTTAGTTGGTGAGATTTGAAATCACATGTCAAATCTTGCTTTGTCTACATATACAACGGAATAAATAAATAATTAATATTCTTTTTAAAAGCATCGCGTGCAGTGTTAGATTAGAAATTAATTGAAATATTATATCCTTAATTCACTTTAAAAGGCAATTAGAGCATTGGCCATTCCAAGAATTTTAATTTTTTTTTTGGCAATACTAGCATTTGCCAATGGTAACGAGCACCCCGAGGAGGATAAAAAAATACTTTTGTTAACAATGGCAATGACATAATTTTAAGGAGTAAATTGTTTACTTGTCATATTTCTTTCAAATTAATATATTTCTTTCAAATTTTTTATGGCCCACAATAAAAATTACCTTCTCAGCACCCAAAAATATATATATATCTAACTTTTAGGGTTATATATAAGCATTAAAATACTTTTAAAAATTGTATAAAATTAGGAATTTATGACAAAAACACGCGTAAATCAGTGTAATTAGTGTGTTTTTGTCATGATTTTCTAAATTTAAACAATTTTTAAGAGTGTTTTTATGTTTATATGTAATCCTAAGGGCTATGTATAACATTAAAAAAAAAATTAAATAAAAAAAAAAACCTTTTTCAAAAATTTCCTTCTCGTACAGTAAATTTGTTTAAATAAAAAAAATTCTACGTACCCCTTTTCACTCCCCACCGTTGTTAAAGACCATACTACATTTCCAGTACCTCCAACCTTTTTCCATGCATATTGGTTCCTCAAAACAACAAAACCCAAAAAGTAATTATTGTAGCTTTTCCAACATGAAAATTCTAAAGCATTATATTACTTTATTTTTAGAGTAAAATATTATAATCAACATTTTTTTAATTTATTAATATTTTTATTTTATTTATATAATTTTTATTCTTATTTTTAGTTTTTCAAAGGGTTGACTTTTCCCCTATTTTCAAACCTTTCATTTAGGGTTTTCAATTTCGACGATCGTTGTCATGATCAACGGATTGCCGGTAAATTTATCTTTCGTTCCAATATGGCGGTACTACCATGCTAAGAGGGAATCAGTCCGTTAATGGTTGTGCCATTGTGACTATGACTATAAGGTGTCGTGGCAAGGGTTGTGGAGGGAATGGGTGGTGGTGTACTGGTGGGTGTTACTGTTAGGAGATGGCTGAACAGGTAGGCGTCGATCGAGTGCTTCTTAGAATTAGGATGAGCACGATTAAAGCAGTAGTTGTTATATTGAAGCTTGAATACAATTACTTTCTTTTGTTTTTTTGCGAAAGTAAATTGTTAATCAGAGTTTGATGGAAGAGAGAAAAGTAAAATACTTTCTCCGTTTTTTTTTTATTGTAACTTTTACATTATTTACATAACTAATTTTGACCATCTTTTATAATATATTCGTAAAAAAAAAATATAATTATATAATATCAACTTAGAATTATCTCAAAATTTACTTTTAAATATTATTTTTTTATAATTTTACAACAGTATAATAAATATATTAATAACAAAATTAATGTATTGACAAACGTAAAAGCAATCATAGAGCAATATAAATAAGGTTATTCAACGAGATTTATTATCTGAATTTTAGGTTTTAATTTGTCTCTGACGCCTATCTTTTTGGCAATACCTAGATGCTCACGATATTTTCACGTGTGACGAGTAAAGTATAAGATTAGGTGGCATGTAGATGAAGATGCACTCAGTCTAAATTACTGTATTGTTTAAGAAACAGATATCATTAGAATACTCAAATAAGCTACAGACTGAAATAATTGAAGTACAGTGCCTAATAAAATCGCTCTGGTTCACTGGGAATACCAAGCACATGTAGTGATTTCTTTGCCTTCATCTTGGGCCATCGTGGATCATGCACGTCGAGCGTATCAATATATTATACTATAAGATAAAGCGAATCAATGTGAAGATGACAAATGTTACTCTCTCATTCGCTTGTCTTATATTATGATATTATCTCTATTTTTATTTAATTGACATCTTTCTTTTATCACGCATATTAGCAACACACTATTTTAACGATTAATATCTCTAATTCTCGACATTGAAAAATTATAAAAAATGGATATTAATATAAAATATATATTAAGACCATTAAACAAGATCTCATTTGACTATGTTTTATCGTAGATGTAAATAACAAAATCTAGTCAAAGCATAGTTTGTACATAGTGTAAAAGTCAAATGGTGTCAACTAAAAAACGGAGAAAGAATATTTCTTTTTGCACAAACTTTTATATGTGTCTGGTCATACCGTGTGGCCAACCACTATGGGAGTTACTTTGTTAGTGCTATAAGGGTACTCACTCGGTCAGGGATTATTAAATTAGTCAGGGGTTACTTGATCAGTTAGGGGTTACTCGGTCACGGGTTACTCATTCGGTCAGGGATTACTAATCGTAAGTTGGTCAGGGGTTACTCGATCAGAGGTTATTCACTCGATTAGGGGTTACTAAGTCGGCCAAGATTTACTCGGACAAAGGTTACTCGATCGATCAGGGTTACTCGTCGTTTAGGGATTACTTGGTGTATGTCAGCTGGCCACACGATGTGGCCACCCTCACACAAAAGTTGTTTTTTTTTTTTTTAGGATGTCTTATATTGTGATACTTATTATTTTATATTTATTTTACATGCATCCTAAGGTAGGTTTAAGGATAAAAATTTATGTAATATACTCTTGAAATAGAGGAAGGAGAAAATATATATCATATTCAAATTACATCCATCTAAAAAATTTATGGAAAAATTGATTTTAATAATCCCAACTTTAACTCATTCACTTTTAATAATTCCAACTTTAGGGGATATTCGTTTTTATTGGTCCCAACCGGTCACAAAACCTGTTATAACAAGTTGATGGACACTTGTCATCATCTTATTGTTCCAAAAAAAATCAAATAATTAATAAAAGAAATTTAATAAAAAAAAAAACCCAACCCCCAGCCTCTGCCATTGCCGGCAGGTAGCAGCCCCCACTTTCTCCGACACCCCCTAACCCCAGCCTTCTCTGGCAACCCCTAACCCCTCTGAAACCATTTGCCCTGCGACCCTGCAAGTCTAACCACCAGAAACACCCCTCCTCCCTTAGCCCACCACCGAAAAACCCACCATCTCCCATTCCCTAGCCCTAAAAGCCAACCCCCACCCCTTCCCCAGTCCCGAAACCCCATCTCATCCCCTTCCCCTTCCCCAGCCCCGAAACCCTCCAAAAAAGCCAATTTATGGCTGCGAATGGTGGTTTCGTGGTGGGGAAAAGGGAGAAGGGGTGACTTTCAGTGGGTGGGGTGGGAATTAGGTCGATTTGCGTGGTGGGTTGGGGAAGAGGGGCGGTTTCGGGAGGGTGCAGGTGGGGAGACGGTGGTTCTGGTAGGCTGCCATAGGTTGGTAGGTGGGGAGGGGAGGATATGGTGGTTGGTTCTTTTTTATTTAATTTTTCTTTTTTAATTTTTATTTTTTAAATTTATTTTTGGACCATATATGTGCTTACACGTGTCGATGAAAAAAAAAACCTATTTAATAGATTACCGGTTACTTAAGATCAGTAAAAACGAAAATCTCCTAAAATTGGAATTATTCAATAATAATTTAAAATTGGGATTATTAAAAACAAATGTCAAATAAGTTGAAGTTAAAATTATTAAAACCAATTTTTCAAAAGTTATTCCAAGCATCCATTTAGATTTAGTCAACATACTGGATAGAGAGCTCTCCTCGTGCACCGCGGGTACGGTGAACATGGTTGGCTTTCCAAATGTCATGGATCTACCACGTGGAAATGTGCAATGTCCTCCCGCCTCTATATGAAATTATTAAGCTAATATAGTAAATTATTAGTGTAAGTAAATTGAGATCAACTCGGTTCAATAATGATTCACTGAACCACTTTTATTTTTTAATCTGCTCAGTGCTCACCTCGTGTACCTCGTGTACCTCGTGTACCTCGTAAGGTTTTATTAATCGCTACATGCTAACTACTCCTTGTATGATGCATTAGAATTTAAATAGACTTAATAAACAATCTTGTACGTGTTATTCATTTGTTGCAGTGTTTAGATATGGTAACTATACCAATTAATGCATATTTATTGAAGACAAGTACCACAATGCATGTTTATTGAACACAAGTACCACAAATTACGAACTGTAAATAAGGCTTGTTTAATTTACTTAATTTTTCTTATCTGATTTGATTTGGTCTAATCTGATTTGATTTTATCTGATCTTATCTGATTGTTTGATTTGATCAAATTTTGACCTTAAATTTACAATATTCGATAAGGAAAAAATATATCAACTGAGGTCTGTTAGATTCATAATAATGTGTATTTTATTAATATATAATTTTTATAATTTTTTTCATTACGAAATTAAAGATATTTAACGATAAAAAACTGCACATAAAACATTGATCGGATTTGAACTTATTTTTTCTAATCTGAACTTATTTTTTCTGATCTGATTTGAACTTATTTTTCCTGAAATTAGTAAAAATAAGTTGAATTAAATAAGGTCTAAGTAAAGTTGTGTACCTTTCTATTTAAATAAAAAACAATCCAATAACAAGTGAGCAATATTAGGCTAGCTATGTTCAGTTCAACTTATTTAAGGTGATACCAACTTATGTTAAAATTAATCAAAACAGATCATTTTTTTTTTTATGTTTATATTTGTATATCGTTGAGTATATATATTTCTCG